ATGATAAGCGTCAGAAGCACAAGCATCAGATCCATCCTGTCTTCTTTGTAGGTAAATTGTGAGCACGAGCCACGGGCTCCACATTGGAGAAATCCTGGAGGCCGGCAGGGGCCAGGTGGGGGTGGGGCAGACCCTATGGCTTCCTCGTCAGCGGCTCAGCAGCTGGAGGGTTACTGCCCTGGAGGGCGATTCACGGGCCGGGCACAGAGCTTGTCTCCCTTTCTAGATGCTCCGAACGTAAGAGCACTTCCTGCGAGACAGCAGAGCGAGCCCCTCTATTTACTGCCTCCTCGGAGACCCCAAGACCTAGGGGCGCAGACTGCGCTATTAACCTGGTCGTTCAGTGACTCCCCAACAAAGTGCGACAGGCGCGGCCGGTGGCAGATGTGCACCGTCTGCGGGGAGCCAGAGCCTGACGGTGACCCTGCCTCGTGCCCCCAGGCCCCTGCGTCTCCCAAGTGGGTTCGCGACTCTTGTCTGGGAGGCACACTAATTCAGCAAGTATCTGAAATGCCCGCATTGTTACGTGGACTCTGCCCCTGTCGGCTGTGGCAGGCGGCCCTCGGCGCCCCAGGGTCCCCACCAGCACGCGGACGCTGGATGCTCGGACTGAGCCCCGTGACGGGAAGCCGTGGGTTTCAGGGCTGTTGCGCTTGGACACTCAAGCGTGTTGGCTGGGGGCCCGCCCGTGGCCTGGTTGGGGGGCTGGTGCAGCCCCAGGGGTGGCCTGCTGACCCTCCAACCCTAGCCCCTGCTTCCAGCGGTCACTGGTTCCTCTGGGCAGGGGTGAGTGCTCCAGCCGGAGCAGCCAGCAATGGCCACGGGCTCCCAAGTCCCCTGTGTCCCCCTCTGGCCGCCTCTTCTGTCTCCCAGGGCGACAGGAAAGAAGCAGTGTGCGCCCGAGCGTGAGCCTCACGGCTTCTGCTTTACGGCTGTGGGCGCGCAGGGGAAGGCGTGCCGTGTGCAGGGGCGCCGGCGCAGAGCAGGACACCCCAGAGCCCTGTGGGTGCCGCCTTGGAGCCTCTCGGGTGCAGGCAGAGGCTTCATCCTACCCGACTCTCCTCTGAGGGCTCAACGTGGAGCTCATGAGCACGAACAGGATACGGGGCTGGCGGGGGAGGCGTGAAAATCCCCTTTCCTTCCTGCTGACGGGAATCCCATCAAGCTCCTGGGGGAGGCCGCCCAGGAACCCCTGCTTGGGTGTGGGCCAGTCCCATCCCGCTGCCCTCAAGGGACTGGGGAGGGGGTTAGTTGTTCCCACTCATTTCCACAGTAATAAAGTTGCCAGGTTCCTCTATTTGCCCTCAAACTGGTGTTGGAGGAAAATACTAACTCTACCTTTGGGGAGAAGTCAGGGAGGGCTCAGTGCCCCTCGATGCATGGAAAATTCTCAGTGCAGGTTGTCCAGAGCCACGGTGGGGGCCACTCAGCTCCAGGGACCCGGTGGGGCGGCCGGCAGGGATCCCGAGCCCAGGCCGGAGCTGAAGTCTGCGCTGCGCCTGGTGGAAGCGTGTTCGCAACAGAGCAAAAGGCATGGTGGGCACTGGAGGCGGCCAGGAGGAGGGCTCAGGGCTCAGAGGGCACGGGTGGGAAGGAAGGGATCCCTGGGTTGCCGTCCAGCCTGGGCACCCTGCAGGCACAGGGCTGTGCCACGGGTGTCTGTCTGGAACCCGCGCCGGGGGTCTCCCTCCATCTTGCCCCACAGTTACTTCCGTCCTTACACTCCTGTGGTGCCGTCTCTTCGTCCGGGAAAGGCCTGCAGAGTTTCATTTTAAAATACATTAAAAAAAGAGGCGCCTGGGTGGCTCAGCTGGTTGGGTTGCTGCCTTCGGTTCAGGTCATGGTCATAGGGTCCTGGGATCGAGGGATCGAGTCCCGCATCCGCCTCCTCGGTCTGTGGGGAGCCTGCTTCTCCCTCTCCCTCTGCCTGCCCTCCCCCCGCTCCTGCTTCACTCTCAAATAAGTAAAATCTTAAAAAGAAAATACGTAAAAAAACAACAACCCAATCTACGAAGACAGGAGTAAACAGTATTCGGGTGGTGGGGGTGGAGCAGCCTGGCACACTGAGCAGGAGACCGGGAATTCGCTGGCACCTGGTGTGGGCAGCGGGGAGACGTAGCGGTCTTGACCAGGGGAGGCAGGAGGACAGGGCTGTCACCGGGACGGGTGTCCCTCTGGGGGGGCGTCGAGCGGAGAGACGCCACCAAGCCAGAGAACAGGAAAAGGAAGGGTTTTCCGCGCAACAAGGAAGGAGAGCACCGGGGCGCCCTCCCAAAGCGACAACCACATTGGTTGGGGAGGGGTGTGAGCCGAGGGGGCAGCCAGTCCCCAGGGCCTTGCGCGGACGGCACTCAGCGTGGACGCGGGCAGAAGGCGTCCGAAGGTGACCGAGCGCAGGGCCGCGTCACGAGGCCGGCCCGGGTCAGCGCCGTCGGTGCTCTGGCTCCGGCGGGTCCCGGACCTGAGGGCTCACAGGGTCCAGATGCTGCAGGGCTCGTCCAGGGTCCGTCTTCCCTTCGGAACCAGCCCTGGGGGTCGTGCCCCTGAGCCACTGTCCCTCGTTGACGAGGTTCTCTCCTGCCTGACGTGGCTGCTTGTCCTTCTCTGCTCCTGCGGGACGGCTGGGGGCCCGAAATGACTTTTCTTATGTCCCGAAAGCTATGTCTGTCTCTCTGTCCCCGGGAACCCCCAAGTCTCTGCCCACAGGGCCGGAACGGTGGTTTAGCCCAGGCCGTGGGGAACAGCCTGTAGGCAGGACCACCGGGCCCTTCGAGGGGGTCCCGCGAGCAGCCTGCAGGGAACCTGTCAACGGGCGGCCTGGGCTCCCTCCCGCCACGGAGACGCTACCCTGGCCCCCCACAAGCTTTTCTTTTTAAAAATTTATTTATTTGTTTGAGAGAGAGAGAGCACGAGAGCAGGGGGAAGGTGGAGGGAGAGGGAGAAACAGGCTCCCCGCTCAGCAGGGAGGGCGAGACAGGGATTGATCCTAGGACCCTGAGCCCATGATCTGAGCTGAAACTAAGAGTCGGACGCTCCGCCGACTGAGCCACCCAGGCGCCCCCCCCAAGAGCTTTTGATGACCAAGACAGGAACTGGGGGGCTTTTAACTTTCTGTACTTTTCCTCTCCCAAACGGAAACCCGCCACTCCACATCTCCTGACCACCACCCCCCACGAATGCCGTGGCAGAGGCCACGCCATGGACGATGGGACACTAGCTCATGTGGCCAGTCGGAACAGCCAGGACGCTTCTTCTTCCAAAGCTGCTGCTTCATCCATTTCCGTGAGCAGAGCCGCGTCAGCCATGCTTCAGGCTCCTGTTGTCCGTGGTCAGCACCCAGAGGTCGCCCGGACACGAGGGGGTCCTGCGGCTGATGAGAAGCCCCGGGACGGCCCGCGGGCCGGTGGGGCTGGGGGCCTGCATGTGGGCCTGCCCTCAGCAGACGCAGCTCTGTGGCTTTGCCGGCGGGAGTAGTGACCCCGGGGTCTCTCCGCGCCACCGGGGAAGACTTGAAGGGAAACATCCTTGCAATTGGGCAGAAAACCCTTTACACAGAGCTGGAAAATCTACAAAATGGCCTATGTTGACTCTGCAAATGTAACCGGGAGCTTAGGCCTAGGCCCCTCCCCTCCACCAGGCGTGTCCTTCATCTCCAGGCAGGGGCCCGGGGCAGAAAGGGAGTGGGGAATCAGCCATCGGGCTCGGGCGGAGGGACAGGGGATCTGCTGGGATCTTTTCTGAGGCCACACCAGTGCTGAGGTGACCCCCAACGTCCCAATGTCCCCAACCAGCTTCACTCCCCATCCTCCTTGGAAGAGTCCTCCCTCTGGCTCTGCTCCCCAGGCCGACGTGAGGCCTCTGCCTGACGAGCCTCCTCACTCGGTGCGGCCTGCCCGGGCCTTCTCCGTGGGCTCCCATCTGGGGCTTTGTCCTGAGTCCATGTCCCGAGGCCTCAGGAAGGACAGAGGCTGCAGGGACTCACTTGGAGAGCACGTCCCTAAAAGTGACAGTGTCCCAGCCTGCGTCCAGGCTGAACTTTGACCCCACTGGAGGCACCTTCCGGGCCTGTGAGCTGGGGTGGGCAGGCGGGCACTACCGGGCGCCTCTGGGCACCGTCCTGGTGTCCGAAGTGCAGGAAGGAAGCCTTGGGGGCCAGGGGCATCCTTGCCTCCCCTTGGTGCAGCTGAGGGAGCTGAGGCTCGGGGTTGCCCAGGTCTGAGTGTGGAGCAGGATCCACCTCCTGGTGCTGAATCCAGGCCCCCAGTCTACACAGCTGGTTGACTGGCCTCCCTCCCACACTTGGTGCTGGGACACGTGGGGAAGGAAACGCAGCCCCAGGCCTGGGGAGACAGCGGGAATTCCCAGCGTGGTGCTGGGCGATGCATGGGCCAGCCCAGGGCAGGGTGCCGCCCGTGGGGTGGCTGAGGCTGTGAGTTCTCCCCTACGTTGGCTCAGGGCAAGGGCACACATCCACCTGGGGCAAAGTTCTCGGGTCCCCTGGAGGGGTCTGGAGGTCCCGGCCTCCACCCCATTGTCTGAGAAGCTCCTGGTTCACGCCCACCATTGCCTCTGGGGCAACACACCCAGGTATGAAATTGGACCTTAAATTTGGGTCCGCAGCCTCTCATTCCAGAGGCAGAAAGAACACTGCGTGCACTCCTACTGCGCCCAGCACGGGCACCAGCAGTGCGTGTGGCCCGTCACAGCTGCGCACGGAGCGCAGAGGGCCTCTGTGGTCTGGGGCCGGGGGCCCGGCATGCAGTCTGGACGCCTTCCTCAGGGCTGGACGCCAGCCTTGGCCCTCCCCTCCCCCGCTGCATGTGGCCCAAGCTCTGCCCGAGGCCGCGGGGGGGCCAGTCTGTTCACCAGCTGTGTTTTCCCTCCAGGCCAGCGAGGAAATGTAGTGGAGCCGCTGCGAGGCCCTGCCTGCCCGAGCTTGGTGTGAACAGCCCAGCCCAGACGCGCGGCCCGCCCCGGGCACCCCTGGGGCCGCCCTCACCATGTCCAAGAAGGGCATGGGCGCCCGAGGCAGGGGCGACAAGGCGGAGCTCCTCGCTGCTCTCCAGGCCGCCAACGAGGACCTGCGGGCCAAGCTCACTGACATCCAGATTGAGCTGCAGCAGGAGAAGGGCAAGGTGGGCCCCAAACCCCCCCCCCCCCCGTGGCCCCTAAACACTCCCTTCCCTCTTCTCCACCCACTCCCGGCCCTGGCGGCTGCCTGCCTGGTCCCAGGGTCCGCAGGGACTCTCAGGGCCGCTGGGAAGGACAGACCGCTCTGGGAAGAGGGCAGCCGGGGGTGGGGGTATCGTGAGGTGGGGGACTGCCCTGGTTCAGTGCCTGGGCCAATGGGACGTTGGCCAGTGGCACCATCCTGGGAAATGTCCTCTGAATGGGCAGTAGGATGACCGCTGCAGGGATAAAGAGCACAGTCTGAGTGAAGCGCTTCCAGGGGCCTCAGGAACGTGGGGGCAGCCCCGGGGAGAGGCGATGGCCTGGGGCAAGCCTGAGATGGCACCACCCAGATGTCCAGCACTTGGGGTCCTCGAGGCCCACGCGGAAGGCGGGGCTTGTGCTGGGGGGAGTGGGGTTCTGGTCCCGGACCGCCTGCTCCGTGCCAGGCCAGGCCTGGGTGGGAGGCGTCCCACTGACCCACTGTCCTCTCCACGTCAGAACTTCTGCCCTTGCCCCCACCCGAGGCCTCCTGGGAGTGTGGAGAGCGAGTGGGTCTGGAGGGGTCCTGCCCAGTGCAGAGCTCTTCTGGGAGGCCGTGGGGATGGGGAACCAGGTTGCTTGGGGCCAGATCTCTAACAGTTGTGCGACCCAACCTGGTTACAACCTGGTCCAGGAGCCGTGGTAACCCCGTGAGGTTCAGATCCTGCGTCCATCAGTACAGTGACCAGACAGGCCTGCGCCCAGCGGTTTCCGTGCCGTCTGCAGGCTGATTGTGGCCCGTGATGGTCGCTCACCCTCCTGCCGGAGGTCCCCGCTCTGTAGAAAGGCAGCAGGAGCAGGACCGCAGGTGCAGGGAGGAGCCCCGGGGATGGGCCTGCAGCTCCGATACCATAGGCTGCTGTCCCAGCGACCACGTGGCCGCTCCCGAGGCCAGGCCTCCTTGGTGGGCCTGCGGGGGAGTCGGAGCCTACGGGGACACTGCTGGGACCAGGGAGTCAGGGAGCGTCGACATCAGCACTTGCTCCGGGCCAGGCGGTCCCCCGAGTCAGCAGGGCCAGCCCCAAGAGGCCCAGACATGCGGCCTGGGGCGAGCCTGGGGCGAAGGTGCAAACACCCCGTGGCCCAGGACGGAAGGTGTCCCGCGCGCCGCGTAGTCCTCGAGGTCGTCCCACACCGAGGCCGAGCCTCAGACCTGCACTGGGGTTGGCGCGGGGGCCAGGCCCTTGGTGAGAGCAGCGTCCGTCCGGCGCTCAGGAGCACACGCGTGGACGCGCGGCTGTGGCGCTTGCTCATGCGCACACCCCGCTCGTCAGGGAGGCACGGTGCTCCTGTGCCAGCGCTTTTAGCCAAGCAACGGCCAGCGGGTGGGGGCGCCGGGCGGGCGCGGGGCGCGCGCTCCTGGTGCCTCCACAGCGCCCAAAGGGGGCGGGGTTGGAGCTCGGGCCCCTCGCTGCCCTCCGAGAGCCCTGGAGCTGGCGGCCCAGGTGCTACAGCCGGGGCCTTGTATCATTCCTGTTCCGGAAAGATTGACCTCTTGGTACAAATTTCAGAGGGAAGGAAAGAAAAGGCCCTCGTCTGTGTTTGTGTTCTGGGTTCCTGGCCACGCAGACAGACAGAGCAGGCCGCACACCAGGTGCTGCGCGTGGCCCTGGGGCAGGTCTGAAGCTCCTCCCACAGGGGCCTGCCTGCGGCGTCTGGGCGGTTCCCAGCCTCGCTGCGGGGAGGGGGAGGGTGCCGGGAGCGAGCAGAGCATCCGGGTCTGCAGGGCTGATGCCACGTGCAGGGAAGCTGGGTCCGAGAGCGCGCGTGTGCGTGCACGTGTGTGAGTGTGTGTGTCCAGGCACGGCACTCCCAGACAGCCCAGTCACCTGGCTGACACGACGGTGGGGGGGGGGGCTCCCCCCAGCTCTTCTCTCTGCAGGGGTGAGGCTCCTGAGGCTGCGGTTTGCAGACTTGCTGCACGGCAGAGCCTGTGACTCCTGTTAGAAATGGGGCTGCCAGCCTCACCCTGGCCGTCGGGGCTCACCCTGACCCGAGGGGCTCACCATGGCCGGCGGGGGTCACCCTGCCCGTGGGGTCACCCTGCCCATGGAGCTCACCCTGGCTAGCAGGAGCCCTTCCCTGTGCACTCGAGGGGATGCTCTGGAGCCCACGGCCTTGGGCATCACGGCCCGGAGCCGCCCTCCCTGCCGCCTCAGCCACTGGCTGCCCGCATCCCCCACGGCTCTAGGCTGCGGTCAGCGTGGGGGTGCAGGGAACAGAGCCCCACGGCCCCACGAGCCCCACGAGCCCCACGAGCAAGGTGCCCGTCCCAGAGAGCTGGGTCTCCTCCATTCAGGAACATGCAGGTGGCGACAGGGTCATGGTTCTTCATCGTCGTCTCCCCTTCCTGCCCTGTTGCTAGTCTGGAAGGTGGGAAGGAGCCGCCAAGGGCACTTTGGCCATTGAGACCCGGGGACGTTCTCTGAGCCTGAGCCTTCCCTCCCCCACCTCTGGGCTCCCACTGCTACTTCCAAGTCAAACCCGCACCTTCCCGCCAAGCATCATTAAAACATTCAAGTTTTTTTGTATTTAAGTGTGTTCATGGGTGTGTTTGTGTGTGTATCTGTAGACGATACCCACCACCCAGAACCAACACAGGCCATTGTCCTTTGGGATTCAAATAGGAAAGTTCTAGACCCTCACAGACACACTGTCGTTCCTGTCTCCTCCCACATGGGGCTGGCCTCCAGGGACGGGTGTGAGGAGAGCAGGCTCCAACGTGGGCTCCGGTCAGGGAGCTGCTTGGCTGTCTCTAGCACGCCAGTGGGCTCACAGTTTCTTTCTTTCTTTTTAAGACTTATGTAATTATTTGAGAGAGCAGGTGAGCGTGCAGGAGGAGAAGCAGTGGGAGAGGGAGAGACCAGCAGGTCCCCCCCACCCGCCCCGCTGAGCAGGGAGCCCTACTTGGGACTCGATCTTACTACTCTGAGATCATGACCTCAGCTGAAACCAAGAGTCAAACGCTTAACTGTGCCACCCAGGCTCCTCCCAGGGTTCAGATTGCCCGTCCCCACCCCCACCCGGGCCTTGAGCTGCGAGCAGGATAATCGGAGGGCGGAACGCCCCTCGGGCCTCTTTCCAGGTCTCCCCCAGCAGCCAGGTTGGTCAGTGAAACTCGCCTGCGATCCTGAGCCGGTGCCTCCCACGGAGGGTCAGCAGTGCTCCGTCTGCTCAGCCCAACGCGACCCTCGCCACATGCCACACAAAGCCGCTGGTGCTGGGGCCGTAGTCATGCCGATGTGGGGGATGGAAAACACGAATCCGAGAATCGTGATCATCAACAGCTCTGTCCTTACCGATCCTGAAGTCTTTTATGTGCCACGGTTAACGTCACCGTTGCAACAGTGGGGGACAAATTTGCGTAACCAGATCTGGACCATGGGACTGATTTCTGTCTGGTTTTGGCACCTTCCAGATGCTTGGGGAGGAGGGCTGGATCTGGACCTCAGGCCGGAAGTCTGGGGACAGCCAGCAGGACCCGACCCACTTGCAAGCCCAGCTGGGTGGCGGGCGTGTGCCGGAGGCTGTGGCACAGGTCACCTACCCTTGAGCAGGAATCCCCAGCACGGCCCGGAGCAGCGACACCACGGTTTGGGACTGTGACTTGCCGGGGTAGACGAGGTGCCCGGAAAGCGTGGGAACCTGCCGTGAGCTCAGCGCCTCGGTTTTCAGGCAGCTGGTCAGCCTCTCGTGGGGTACTTGGGGGGTTGACTTGACAGTAAAGAAAGATGCGTTAAATCGAAGAGGACTGTCCTGCAGCCGCCCTCGGTCGGGAGACCGAGTGGGGCCATCTCTGGTGAAGAACCTTCCGGAAAGAGGGAGCTGGCCCCGCAGGGAGAGGAGCTCACACAGAAGGCCTCGCGAGAGCCGCGTGGAAGTGAACTCAGCGTCCGTTAGGCAGAGTGGGGTGCTGGGGGCATGAACGTGGACAGTGAGGTGAAAACAAGCCTGGTGCTGAAGGTCTCCCATCTCCACCGCAGCGCCAAGGCTCCAGCTCCAGCCCAAACGCGGAGCAGCCCCCACGGCCCGCACTCATGGGGTCCCGCCCCCACTGGGCCCCCCGCTCACGAGCACCGCCGCGGCAGGCGGGAAGGAATGGACACGACAGGCTTCCACCTGCTCGAAGGACGCTGGCCTGCTTTAACTGGGAAGGAGTTTCTGAAACACGGGGTGCCTGTGTGACCCCCCGGCCGTGCCTCAGTGGAGGGAGACGCTGAGGAACGGGAAGCAGGCGTCTGGGCAAGGTGAAGCCCGGCAGAAGGCGTGGCTGCAGTGGAGCAATCACGGAGGGCTTCTCAGAAGAGGCATCCCAGCCCGGCCCCTGTCGCTCTGCAGTTCCATCAGATCGGTCCCTCTTAGGAACATCCGGTCAGGACTGCGGATGGCGGGCACCCGGTCCTATGAGCGCCTGCGTGGGTCAGGGGCCGGACGCAGGCCATCCTCGTGGGGCTGTGGTCTGGCTTGAGGGTAGAAGTTGGCCTTGACCAAGGAGTGGAGACGGTAGTGCCTGTCACCGTGGGCCCTGTGTGTCCACAGCAGTTCCAAGCCACTTGGATGGCCGGCTGGTGGGGAGGTCCTTTGGGGCCGGCGCCCCCTCCTCTGGGAAAGCCTGGCTCGGCCTGGGGTGGGACTTGGGGGTCAGGCGGGTTTTTGTGAGGACTGTGGGCAGCACTGAACATAGTTTCTTTCTGAACAAAACCTGAGGATGGCCAGGCCACGGGAGCCAGCCACGCGGACAAGGCACAGCCATGACAAACTGGGAAGGGAGCAGAGAAAATGTGGGAAAACACCCGTTCTCAGGAATCTTAGCGGCAGGAAGGGCGTGAACACAGCAGCTCCTGGGTTCCGAGGGTTCCCAGCGACTGCGTGTCTCACGTGGATAGAAGAGGAATGCGGGAATGTTCTCCCGTGCTGCCCCGGCTTCCTTGAGAACCAGTTCTCCGTGTGGGGGGAGCGGAGGCACGGAAGCTGCCCCGGGAAGTCGAACAGAAGCCTGGGCTGGAGGTGGAAACCACGCTGGAAATGGGAAGTGCTGGCAGGAAGCTCGAGGCATCTTCTCTCGCATACGCACGGGGAGGCCGTGTTTCTGTCCGCCAGGAGGCCTGCAGCCCGGACCAGCCTGGGGCTGTGGCAGCCCCCGGCTCCTGCTGGGACGCCGAAATAGCACTCCCCCTTGAAAGAAGTCAGGGTGCCTGGGGCACAGGCTGGGGCAGGCGGTGAGCCACAGGATTGCCCGACCTGCGGAGAGCCTGGGACAGCCAGGGTCATGGTGCATCCGAAGGCTTCGGGGCTGGCTCTCAGTGGCCACAAACAGATGCTCTGAGCTTCAGTGGGATGAGAGCAGCAGCGAACCAAACCCCGCCAGCTATGCTCAAACCCACACGTTCCTGATGAAACAAGTAATCGGGCTCCTGCCAGGCCAACGAGGAGCCTGGTCCCTTGAAACTGGGTGAATGGAAGTAATGAACTGAAAGGGTGACCTGCCCCTCCCCAGACGGCCCGTCGTTTGGCGCAGAGACCCACTCCAGATGCAGAAACCGCTCAGCCCGCGACGTCTGGGAAGGCAAAGCTATGGCCCCACGAGCCAAGAGTCAAGAGCGCTACCGCTAAGTCACCAGCCACCATGTCAGCTAGACATTGATGAGGTCCTGGGAGGCTGAGGTCTGTGGCAAAGGCAGCTGCGGATCTCAAGGAAACATCGCTACGTGCTACCTCGGCAGGACCATCTCCTTAACTTTCAAAGCTGCTGTGTGTTTCCGGGACAGATGGGAGTCGCCCAGAACCAGTGGGACCCAGCGGGCAGGCCACGGCATATCTCCGCAGTTTTCGGTGCTCATCGGGGGACAGGAGCCTGGGACGCCTCCTGCCCATTGCCTCCCTACAGCCTGTGTGCTTGGGGCCGCAGGCCACATCCCCACCTTTGCACATCTCTGGCCCAGGGAGCCGTGCAGTTGAGCCCACAGCACATGGGGAGGAATTCACGGGCCCCGTGGACGGAGCGTCGGGGAAAGCCCACTGCCAGAGACCTGAGGGGGTAGAAGGCCAAGGCGGGGGCCGAGGGCATCTCTGGGGCACCCTCGGAGTCCAAGGAAGCAGCGGGGCTGGTCTTCCCGTCCAGTGCGTCTTGCTCGGAATTGCAGTGAGAGCCTGTGTCTCCTGGGAGCGCCGTGTGCTTGCTTGTGTGCTTGCTTGTGCACTTTCTTTGGTAACTGTGGGGGCTGTATCGGAGGACCCGGGCTCCGAAGGGGTCCCCGGCCACGGTCTGCTGCGTCTGAGCCCGCTGCTCCAACCTGCCCACGCTCGCTGGAACGTGCGGGGCCGGGTACTTGGCGTGGGTTTGGGTTTTCACCAGGCCTTTCCCACATGCAGCAGGGATGGTGTCAGGCACTGGACAGAAGGGCAAGTATGTGGCAGGTGTGGGTGCTGTTGTCTCTGAATCAGCTTAGAGCACAGTGAGAACCAGACCCTGCAGAGCTCTGAGCATCCCCCTCCACCAGCTTCCTGCTGCGACAAACTCCAGCTCTGTGACCACCTGTGACCACCACCCGTGACCACCACCACAACCACCACCCGTGACCACCACCCACAACCACCACCCTGACCACCCGTGACCACCGCCCACGACCACCACCCTGACTACCCGCGACCACCACCATGACCACCGCCCACGACCACCACCCGCGACCACCACCCACGACCACCTGTGACCACACTGCTCTTCCCTCTGCTGAAGCCCATGCAAGAGGCCGGCTGGCTCCCTTATGTCCGGCTGCGAGCCCCCGACCCCACCGTGGGGGCTGAAATGGCTCGGGAGTGGCCCCCTTGAGAGCACAGATTGCTGATTGCCCCCCCACACGGCTGAGAACCACCATCAACATCTTCGCCTTGAACTGGAGAAGGGCAGCGCACCTGCAGTGGGAACGGAGCGAGCCCTTGCACTAGGCTTCAGCAACGGCCCCTTCTCTGGCGGGAACCCGGACGGCCAGGCAGGTACTTGCTCGGTCCTGCCAGCGCCCAGAGGCCAGGCTGAGACAGAGTTCGGTCACTAGAACTGGTGCAGCACTGCGGGGTCTGAGCCATCCCGAGGGCAGCTCAGGCTGGACCCCACTGCACACTGGGCCACCAGGCGGGAGCCCCAGCTGAGTGCATCCGGTCACATGCGTGTCCTGATAGGGAAGTAAACGTACTATGGGTGTGGGGCACGTAGCCTCCCGATCTGCGTGCATCCCGGGGAAGCTCGCTCTGATGCGGGAGGGACACCACGGTCCTGGAGAAAGGGATGAATAAGGCACCGGGGGGGTGCTGTGAGAAGGGGGCGCAGAGTGGCGGGTCGGCGTGCGGAATTAGGGCTGGGCGTCTGGGGGCTGCCGAACACAGTCTGGGGGATGGGCAGTGGGCCTGCCCAAGGTGGAGGGTCAGAGCTTGTCACCCTGGGGAAAAGAACCCAGAGTTGTGAGCTGGGGTGCCAGGGGCCATGGCGGGGTGGGGCTGGAACTTCCCAGATGGCATAGTGGGTTTTGTCTGCTCGTGGAGGCGCCCCGGCTCTGCCTTTGCCCTGAACGCCCCAAAGCAGAGAAGGGGACTGGGCCACCCGTCCGCACATGCTGACACTTCCTCCTGTGGATGGTGGATGGTGGGAGGGGAGCTGGAGCCGTAGCTGTCTAAGTGGGGAGCAGGGGCGCCCGCTCTGAAGCTGGGCTTGGGGTCCACAGGAGAGAAGGAGGGGCTCAAGGATGCTGGCCCTGCGAGGTGCCGCAGAGCACAGAGGCTGGGGCAGAAGCGAAACACCAGCCACAGCGGGACCCGGGGCGGGTCAGCCGCTGCCTCACCCCATGCTAGGTCCTGAGCCCCGACTTCCTGCCGCGTGTGGGTGGTGTGGCCCCTGAGCCAAGACTGACGTTCTAGATGAAAACAAGAGATTCAGTCAAAAATCTGAGCATTTCCAAAATCTAGACAGACCGGTGGCCTCAAGTCGCCTTCCTGTCGGCCAAGCACATCGCAGGAGGTAAGTGCAGTGCCCTGTCCTCTGGGCTGGAGGCCCGTGCCCACGCACGTCCCGTACCTTCTTCCTGGCGGCTCATGGGCGAGGTGGCCGCTGGACATTTGCAGCGCGGCCGGGCCTGGCGGGGGCTAGGCAGCGGAGCGGGTCTGTGTGGACCCACGTGTCTGTGACCTTCCTTTCCAGGCTCACGGTGCTTCCAGCCTCCGGCTCCCGAGGACGCCTGGCACGCTCTCCGCCTGCCCAGCTCGTCCGTGAGGAGGCGTCTCGGGGGGGAGATAGTTCCCAGCCATGCGGGGAGGAACACAGAACTCCCGCCGCGAGCCCCGGGCGTGCACGGGCCAGGACGTGAGCAGCAGCCGTGGCGCTCCTGTCTTTCAGGTGAGCCGGGTGGAGAGGGAGAAGAACCAGGAGCTGCGGCAGGTGCGGGAGCACGAGCAGCACAAGAACGCGGTGCTGCTCACCGAGCTCAAGACCAAGCTGCACGAGGAGAAGATGAAGGAGCTGCAGGCCGTGCGGGAGGCGCTGCTGCGGCAGCACGAGGCCGAGCTGCTGAGGGTCGTCAAGGTCAAGGACAACGAGAACCAGCGGCTGCAGGCCCTGCTGCACGCACTGCGGGACGGCGCCCCCGACAAGGCCAAGGTCGTGCTGCTGTCGGAGGCGAAGGAGGAGGCCAAGAAAGGGTTCGAGGCGGAGAAGATGAAGATGCAGCAGGAGATCTCAGAGCTCAAGGGGGCCAAGAAGCAGGTGGAGGAGGCGCTGACCATCGTGGTCCAGGCCGACAAGATCAAGGCGGCGGAGATCCGCAGCGTGTACCATCTCCACCAGGAGGAGATCTCCCGCATCAAGAAGGAGTGCGAGCGGGAGATCCGCAGGCTGGTATGTGCTCCCGGGGCACGGGGCACGGGGAGGGGCACGTGGGACGTGGGCGGGAGCACCGGGTCCAGAGAGGTAAAGGTCACGGCCCTCGGGGGCCGTCTTGGTGTCAGTGCTGTGTGGGGAGGCGCCCTCTGTGTCTGGGCCATGGGGAGTCAGTGTCTTGTCCGGTCAGGAGTGGCCAGATTCCGGCAGCTTCCCCGGGGCGTCGGGATGGCTCCAGACACCCGCTGTCCGTGGCTGGCACCCCGAGAGTCGACGTCCTCAGAGACCCAGAGCAAGAAGTGAAAGAGAATATTTAGGGACGGGAGGGCCTGTGCTTGACTGTCCTCATCCCTTGGAGCTTGACCTCCTTGGTATTTGGGGGAAACGGAGCTCGACCTTAGAGCCCCATGTCCCCTGTCATGGGCTGGGGACGAGCTGGCTTTGCTGCTGGTCACACTCAGGACCCCTGGGATCCCCTGAACAGGATGCCACAATCTCTCCAAGCAGCTTGGCCGGGCACCTCTCCCTCCTTCCCTGGGCTCCACTTTCTAAAGACTGCCCCGGGCCGTGCTGCCATGTTGTACTTCCCAGAAGGGGTACAGCCACTCTCCAGACCCGAGGCCCAAGGGGGAACGCAAGCCTTGCGAGCTGAACACAGCTCTGCGGCCATGTGTACATGGGGGCCCAAACACTCCCAGCCTGGACAGCCGCCCTCCTTTCCTGGGCTGTCCCCCACTCCGTGCCCCCCACAACTCTAAGCCATGCGTCGGTGCCACCGTGATCCAAGACCCTGTGGGAAGTGTGGGCTTCCTTACGCGACAGGACGGTCCCTCCTGTCTTCTTCTGCCCGGGAAAGGGAGGGACACCAGTGACCATCTGGAGGAAGGTGGGACAGGACGGTCAGTGCCCACTGCCTGTCTGCAGGCCTGTGGCCCGTCTCCTCAGCTGGGCGCCTGTAACACAACCAGACGGTCCCTGTGGTGCCCACCGCCCCCCTCCCCCCGGCATGGACGCTCCCAGGGGAAGCTGGAGCCAGCTCTTTTAGCTGATTCTTCTGAATTTTGTGCCAAATTCTCAAAAACATGCTTATATTTCTAATTTTTTTAAAGATTTTATTTATTTATTTATTTAGTCAGAGAGAGAGAGCAAGTGTGAGCACAAGCAGGCAGAGAGGCAGAGGCGGAGAGAGAAGCAGGCTTCCCGCTGAGCAGGATCCCGATGCGGGACTCGATCCAGGGACCCTGGGATCATGACCTGAGCTGAAGGCCGACGCTTAACCCACTGAGCCACCCAGGCGCCCACAAAGTTCTACTTCTTGATATCTCAGTTTTTGCTCCCCCTTTGCCTGCCCTGGCCCCCTGGCCCCCTTCCCCTCTGCTCCTAAGTTGTCCGGGTGGTTCTTCACAGGAGGACTCGGCTTCTGTGAGCGAGGGGCCGATTCAGGAAGGTGTGGGCACTGTCAGGGGAGACCTGTCTGGTGGCGACCCCGGCAGGTGCTCACTGAGGCCCCGGGGGAGAGGCGGGTGACGGCCGGGGACAGCAGGGTGGCCCCTGGGGGGCAGGGCCCAGCCATGGCCGATTCAGCCCAGCCGGGGAGGTGGGAGCACAGGGCCAGCGTCCTGGGCCCAGAGCCCGGGGTATTCAGGGACACGAGAAGGCCCCACGGGACACTCGAGTGAAATCTAGTATTGACAAGACGGCTGCCGTGTGCGCGTTCCTCGCACAAGACCCACAGCGCCCCGCGGCCCTGTCACCGTATTGTGCGCATCCCCTGCCAGGAGTTGGTCTTCTCGTTTGCTTGTTTCTCTGCGTGCGGACTTGTGGTTCAGCCCTGAATTCCCAGGAGGGCGTCTCTGCCCCGAGTGCAGCCCCGCATTTCCCTCGTTCCCGAGATGCCCCTCCTGGAGCCCCCCGCCCGCCCTTGGGCCTGCCTTCCCCCGACCCCGGCCACTAGCCTGACCTCTCGGCCCCCTGGGAGCCCCCGCCCGCTCCCCGTCCTCCCATGTCCTCCTCTTTGCTGACGTGTGGTTCCCGCTTCCGCCGGAACGCGGGCTCGAGCGGCGTCCGGACCCTGAGCGCGGAGAGAACTTCCCGAGACTGCGCGTGTTTTGTTCGAGACTTTGATTCCGCGCGCACGCTCGATGCTGCCGGGTCGGGGACTGTGGGGCGGAGAAGTTTTCCATCAGGAATTCGAGGGCATCTCTGCGTTGTCTTTTAACTTCCCGCACGGCCACGACAAGCTGGAGGCCGCTGTGGCTCCTGACCTTCCCCGCTCCGCGGGCCCCCACGGAGCTGCGTGGGGCTCGCGGGCAGACGGGCTGTAGGAGGTTCTGCGCCGTGTCGGGGCCTCTCTTTGTTTTCTTCCCCTCCCAGGAACTGGTCAGGGCAAGACGGCGGAGCAATGGCGCCAGACACAGCAGGTTGGAAAGGAAGGAGTCAAGCTGTCTTTTTGCAGGTGGTGTGCCTGTAGAAGACCCTAAGCAACTCACCCCAAAACCCCAGAACCATTAAGAGTTCTGCACGTTTTCAGGATCAAGATCAAAATGCAAAGATTGGTTGTATTTTTATTCACGAGCGACAAACAGTCCAGAACGAATTTTTTTTTAAGATTTTATTTATTTGAGAAAGAGAGAGAGAGCACGAGTGGAGAGAGGGGCAGAGGGAAAGGGAGAAGCAGATGCCCCGTGGAGTGTGGAGCCTGAGGACGAGGGGCTCAATCCCAGGACCTGGAGATCACGACCTGAGCCTCAGTCAAGAGTGGGACGTTCGGTCGACGGAGCCGCCCAGGCGCCCACTGGGGTATTTTACACGCAGGTTCCCAGGCGCCCCATGTAGTGGTTCTGGTTCTGTGCGCTGCGCAGAGCCTGCTCTGGACGGCAGGGGCGAGTCAGGGTGTGCGGAATGTCCTCGCCCCTCCACAAGGGCCATTCTTCCGTCCTCAGCATCCTTCCCTGGGGACCAACCACCGCAAGGGCTGCCTCGGTTTCTGTACACCTTCTGTGACTGGGAAAGGTGGAGGGGATGGGCATGGGGGTGCGAAAGGGGGCGGGAGTGAAGGGTGTGTGTGCTGGAGAAGAAGGGGTGAGGGGGAGCTCCCAGGGGTGAGGAGGTTTGGGGCGGGGGCTGCTATGGGGGAGGGGCAGGGGGGTGTAGGAGCTCCCAGGGGTGAGGGGGTATGGGTGTGCTGTGGGGGAGGGGAGGGAAGGTGGGGAGCTGAGGGTGTGGGTCTGGGACTGCAGGGGGATTGGGGCAGCTCGTCTGGAAGCTGGCCAGGCCCAGTCAGGATTTGGGATCTTCCCTTGGAACTTTGGGAGTGACGCCACCGGACTCCGTTTCCAGCGAGGACAGTGGTTGTGAGGGACGGGCTGTAGCAGGCACAGGCGTGCACACAGGGAGGCCACTACAGAGGTCTGGAAGCCACTACAGAGGTCTGGGAGAGAGAAGGTGGCAGCAGGGTGACCGGAGGCTCCTGACTCGCGCCCCCATTTCACCGGAGAGCCCTTGTCCTGTCCCTTGGGAGAGCTGGTCATTTGGGTGTTCACAGTTACATAAGACAGGGACAGATGACGTCCCCGGGTGCTCTCTGCGGAAAGAGAACCCACGGGCCTCTGGCAGGGAAAGGGGGTGCTGGGCCTCAAGGCAGCGGGACTACAGCCCCCAGTGCCATGCTGCCCACCACTGCTTCCCCGGCCGGCCTGGGCATCATACGAGGACATGTGTCGGAAGCAGTGCCTTGTAGACCTGGGGGCCCCACGGGACCTGACAGAGTTTTCTGTCCACCTCATGAGCCGGCGTGTCCCCCCTTCCCAGGTGGGCATTCGGGTGGGAACCGCAGGGTCCTGCGGGGCGTCTGCTACCCATGGACGCTGATGGACACCGACGCTGCTGTTTGCCTAGCCCCCTGGCGTTAGGAGGACCCCCTGGGACACTGTCTCTGAACTCAGAGTGACTTCCCACCCTGGCGATCAAATCCCACCCCTGTGTGAAGGCACCTGTCCTTGAATTTCCTCTGTGGGCCTGTCACCCTGCTCGGCCGCAGCACGTGGTATAGTCGGGCGGCCCCTTAGGGAGGTTTGCCTTTCAGTGGAAGCCGTCTGCTTACGGAGCTCATTTCAGTGGGATCTTTGTGTCGGGACTCATTTCCTGGGGTCCTGACGAAAGAACAGTGATGTTTTCTTAGTGTCGCGTATGAGTGTCGTTAGACCCCAGAACACGGCTGCTTAGCGATACAACTATATTTCCCTGGTCCCTTTGTTTTCACTAATTCAGGGTGTTTCTGTGTGCTCCAGTAAATGGGAATTTAGCAATTAAGGATTTCTTTTATTCTATTCAGTTCATCGCTTTCCTGCAAAACCGTGATCCGGGCTAATGAGACATCTCACGTCTTTGTTCCAAGCTGACCTCAGCAGATGGCCGGTTTATGAGCTTAGGTAGCCTTAAACGGCAAGCGAAGCACCAAGTTATCCCATCCTGTTCCATTGTTTGCAAATTTGTTTTAAACTGAGTCGTTTCATAAATCGAGAACCGTTTGTAAGGACCCCTTGCCGCGCCCCAGTCCGTCAGTCTGTCTGTCTGAAGAAGCGGGGGTGGGGTGTGTCTGCCTCCCCACGGGGAGCGGCCCATCCCGCAGCGGCCAGCGGAGGGGCCCGGAGACAGGCGGCAGCCGTGTGCAGAGAGCCTTCTCGCTGCTGTCAGGAGGTCGAGCGCTTCAGGGAGAGTGGGGAGGGCCACGGACCCCTCACGGCCACTCGCCTGCTGGCCTGAAGAGGCCTGGTGGGCCGGACGCTCCTGACTTCCAGTCTGGGGCTGACTTGTCCAGAGACCCCTCCTCCACGCCTTAGCTCAAAGCAAGATGAACTGAAAATGCAGCATCGCCTGCGAGCAGTGGGCGGCACCGTGGTCTGTCCACGCCTCGGGCAAGGAGAGGCAGGGCGCAGAAGGACCAGAGCGTCGGCTCTGTGGCCGGGGTGCCCCTCAGAGAGGAGAGGGAAGAGGCAGCGAGAAACCTCCGCTTCTCATACCCTCAGCTGCCCTGTTGGAGGACGGACCTTGCTCCTCACCGTCTCCTATGGATGGGGTCCCAGGAACTTGGCGATTCCCCGGCCCTGCCCAACACACGGCAGAAGGCAGGAGCTAGAGGGGGCTTCTGCGGACCTGCCAGCCAATGCCAGCCCCCAGGAGCCCCCGCAGTCCAGTGCCGCAGGGGGTGGGACCCTGGGAGGGGTGCCCGGAGTCCAGAAGGAGACTCAGCTGCACCAGCTTGAACTGGACTAGCAGAGCAGAGGCCGGCCCAGCCGGGGGTGGGGTGGGGGGAGTCACACCTCGGCTGGAGCAGTGGGGCTGTGCTGCGGCACCTGCTTTGCATCCCGTCGCGGAGCCCAGAGACACATGGGCAGGGCCGCTGCGGTGGGGACCCTCCTGGCGCTGGCTCCGAGTGCCGCCGTCTGTGTCTATGGTAACTGCGGACCTGTACCCTGCCTGCCTGTGTGATTGTGTTCTGTTCTCCTTGTAGATGGAGGAGATAAAATTTAAAGACAGAGCAGTCTTCGTGCTGGAGAGAGAGTTAGGGGTTCAAGCCGGGCATGCTCAGAGACTGCAGCTCCAAAAAGAGGCTCTAGATGAGCAGCTGTCCCAGGTCAAAGAGGCTGATCGGCACCTGGGCAGCCCCAGACGGGAGCTTCCTCATGCAGGCGGTGCAGGAGACGCCTCAGACCACTCGGGAAGCCCTGTAAGCACCTCCCCACGCTCCCCCGTGACCCAGAGTCACAGACAGTGCTGTGCGCGGCTCTGCGGGCCTGCTCGGGCGGCTCCCCAGGGAGTTGAGAGCCTAGGTCCAGAGTCCAGAACCAGAACCCCCCGCCCCGGGCACGCTGACCGTGTCTGCAGCCCACCAGCCGGACCCCAGACCCCCCGCTTCTCCGGCTCGGCTGGGCGGGCAGACACACTTCTGCCTCCTTGCTTCCTGGCTGGTGTGGCACAGCACCGGCCTTCACTCGACCGCCCGCCCCCCACGGTCCCCCGAGGCCTCCGGCTGGAGCCTGCTGGCAGCTGCCAGGCCCCCAGGCACTAACGGTCCTTGCTGGTCCCAGTTCCCACCCCAGCAAGAGGGACGAGGCTGCACCATTTCCATCTCCACGTGCACGGGCTCCTGGCTCTCCATTCGCCCGTCACCCCCACCCGCTTTTTGTGTGACCCTGTCACCCTTTTGCTCCTCTTCAGGCTGCCGAGATAATGTGGGGTGGGGGTAGCCCGCAGCCGCACGGCTGTGACATCATCACTGCTCACTGCTGCTCCTGATTCAGAGCCCGCTGGAGTGGTTCTTGGCAGTCCGGGGTGGGGGGCTCTAAGTTCCGTGGACCCTCAGTGCAGGTCCTGCGGGCCCGCCCCTAGCCTCTCCTGCACCTGCTGAATGAGGAACCGTTCCTCTGTCCTCCCCGGACATGCCTTTGTTTGCTCTGAGGACAAACTGTTTGAGCTGAGCCAGCCCGAGGACAATGATATTTCAAGAATAGAACATGATTTTTTTTATAATTTTATTATAAATCGCTTAACTGAATTGAATCTTGCTCTGCCACTCGATGGATTGTGTGAACTCCAGAGAGACTCTGAAACTGGATCAGAATGTTTTGATTGATTTTTGAATGAGGTTCCAGAGGTTTCAAAAGTGACCTCGTAGAACCTCAGTGTGAGGGAGCACGCGTCCTGGGAAGCCATCTTTGCAAAGTCTCAGGTTGAACATCTCCTCCTGTGCTCACACGATCATACGAGGGAAGGTGCGAGCCCGCCTCCCGCACTCGCAGGCCCTCCCGACAGGGGCAGCCCTCGGCAGCCCCAAGGGGGGCCGCAGCACCCGCCCACATCCGCGTGCCCGCCTTTGCACGCCCTTGCCTTCCACTGCATATCCCGGACATCCTGCTCCTTCGCTCTGCCCCCACTGTGCGGTCCGCAGTGGCCACGGTGGTCAGCAGCAGTCCCCTGCCCCTGGGGGGGGGGGTCTGCCCCCACCCACCCGCCACGTGCAATCACGGGCCGTCATGGCACAGAACTGCTTTGTTCTCTGTGGTGACTGGGATCTGCAGAGGTTTCTGCGCGTGTGTCTGCGAACAGTTGTTTGCAGTTGATTTTTGTTTTAGGAACAGCAGTTGGATGAAAAGGACGCTCGGCGCTTCCAGCTTAAGATCGCGGAGCTGAGTGCGATTGTCCGGAAGCTGGAGGACCGAAACGCCTTGCTTTCGGAGGAAAGGAATGAGCTGGTGAGTGGCAGTGGGGCAGGGCCATGGGGTATCTGTGTCCCATGGGTCTGTGGCTGCTGCAGGTGCCCCCTTTCCTTGTGGAAAGGAGTGATGGTGCCAAGGACAGGGCTTGCATACAGGCCTCTCAGCTGTTTCAATAAAGCTTTATGAACAAAACCTGGTTGAGGGGCCACATGTGGACCTTGGGCGCCGGTTGGTTGATCCCTGCTCCATATTATTGAGCAAAAGTACCGTCCATCCCATGAGTTCCCTGGGACAAGCGAGGCCCGTCCCTCTCCGGGGAGCCATCACGATTACGGCTAACGGGCACCGGAATTTCCAGGTGGCCTGTGTCTGAGTGGGGGCTCCTCCAAGGGCCCTGAAGGGTCATGTGCCAGGTGAGGCTCCTGTGGCTCTTACTGGCAAAATAGAGGCTTGGCCCCGAGACGGCGTGGATGGAGCCAAAGCTGTTCTGGTCAGTTTGCCGACTCTGTATGGGGACTGTTGGTTCCACGTCACACTTACAGTCACGCCGTGTGATTAATTTTGTGTTTCAGTTAAAGCGCTTGAGGGAAGCGGAGAGTCAGTACAAGCCACTGCTGGATAAGAATAAGCGACTTACCCGGAAGAATGAGGATCTGTCCCATACTCTGCGGCGGATGGAAAACAAGTTAAAATTTGTCACCCAGGAGAACACAGAAATGGTAAGGGGCCCTGCCTGGTGCGGTGGGCCGGGAGGGTGCTCACGCCCGGGGTCTGGTCTCAGGGCAGCGGAATCCACGGGGCTGGCTGGGAGAGGAGGCGGTAGGTGAGGGTGTGAGCGTGGAGGGTCGAGGCTGTGGGCACCTGCCTGAGCATGACCGGGTGGGGAGGTCAGTGAGCAGGACACCAGGAGTTCCTCGGCCTCTGCTGACTCTGAAAATCTAGGGCTCAGGTGGGAGGAGCCCCGGGACACCTGTGTGGAGCAGCGGGGCTGCAGACCAGCGCAGCGCAGGCCGGAGCTGCCGGAGGGCCCAGTCGTGCAGTGGGGGATGGTTAGCCGGTGTCTCCTGGGTCCCTTCTTAGTTTAGCCGGTCCTTCACCGTGGTTGGGGGATGGGGGAAGGCCGGGGTGCACCCCCTCCCCGCACCCGGCTGCAGAAATGCCTCCTTCCCACGCTCAGCTCGGAAGCGGCGGGGTGCGCGAGGGCAGGCCGCTCACGCCGCCGCCTGGCCCCGGGACGCAGACTCCCCCGAACCCTGCCGCCCGCCGCCCCGGCCCGAGCGGAGGCGCGCCTGGCCCCCGGCGGACGGGGAGGCGCGGCTGCGCGGCGCGAGCCCCGCTGGCAGGGAGGACCCGCTCGGGGCCGCCGACCACCCCTCAGCCCGCCCCGCGTGACCGGGTCTGGCTGGCTTTGCAGCGGCAGAGGGCCGGCATCATCAGGAGGCCCAGCTCCCTGAACGACCTGGACCAAAGCCAGGACGAAAGAGAAGTGGACTTCCTGAAACTGCAGATCGTGGAGCAGCAGAGCCTCATAGACGAGCTTTCCAAGGTGCCCGCGCCTGTCGGCGGCGCGCCCGCGGCCCCCCGCCCGCGGCCCCCCGCCCTCGGCCCCCCCGCCCGCGGCCCCCGGCCCTCGGCCCCCCCGCCCTCGGCCCCGCCGCCCGCGGCCCCCCCGCCCTCGGCCCCCCCGCCCTCGGCCCCCCCGCCCTCTGCACCCCGCCGCCCTCGGCACCCCGCCCTCGGCCCCGCCCCCTGGCCGAGGGCCACGCCCGCGGCCACGCCCTCCTCTCCCGTCTACCTCGGCCTTGACCCGCCCCTCTCGCCCGCCCCTCCCCTCGACCGTCGGCCCCTCCCCTCTCCTCCTCGCGCCCCTGAGCTCGAGTCACTCTCGGTCCGTCCTCTCCCACCCATGGGCCCTCCGCTCCCGTCTCTCTCAGCCCCTCCCCTCTCCTGCCTCGGGCCCGCCCCTTCCGCCCCTCGGCCCCGCCCCTCCCGTCTCTCTCTCTCTCTCTCTCTCTCTCTCTCTCAGCTCCTCCCCTCTCCTCCCTCGGCCCCACCCCCATCTCCCTCGGGCCCCACCCCTCCTCTCACCTACCTGGGCTCCTTGCCATCCTGCCCGGTCCGTGGGATGGAGAGCCCAGCAGGCATGTCCCCCCGCCCTTCCCTGGGGCTGCACCGCGGCCATGTCCGAGTGGCCCTCTAAAGCTGCGTCGTCTCCTCCCCGCTTCGGACCCCGGGGTTCAAGGGCAGTGATGCCGCAGTGTTAGCTCCTGGCCAGGGTCCATCCTTTGCTGAAGGGAAGCTTGAGGCCTCTCGGATCTCGGCCTGACTCGGCAAGGCTGCTCTGTGTCCCTCCCCTTCTCTCCTGAGGACACGTGCCCTAATCCAGGACGGTCTCCCCTCCAGATCCCTGATTCAATCACGTCTGCAGAGACCCTATTCCAGATAAGGTCCAGGCCCAGATGCTGGGCATTAGGACGTGGACAGGCTCTTCCAGGCCTACCCAGCCCACGACACTGCCCTGTTCCTGTAGGGCACGGCTTTGCAAATAATCCTGCACCAAACCTTCCTTCTGCTTCTTGTTGCTGTCCCCTTGGATCGTTTCAGAGCAAGTCGCCTTGGCCCTTCTGTGACCTCTGGGTGCGGCAGAAGGGACAGCAGCATCTCTCCTGCCGGTGTGGCTTGTGGCCCAGAAGTGCTGGCCTGGCTTGTCTTGTTGTCGTTTTTACTAAGTTCTACGCCCGATGTGGGGCTTGAACTCAAGACCCTGAGATCGAGTCACATGCTCTGCTGACCGAGCCGGCCGGGCCCCAACGCCTGTTTCATTTTGATGACTGAAGTTCTCTCCAAAGTAACGGGAGGTCCCACAGCTCAGTGTGGGCTGCAGGGCGGGTCTCACCAGCTCAGCCTTCCCTGACCGTGCCTGAGAGCTGCCCTCTTGTCTCGTTCAGCTGCACAGTGGCCGCGCGTCCTCCTGTGTAGAGGATCTGTGGGGAGGGGGGCATTCAGGAAAAGGAGGAAATCCTGGTCAGTTGCAATCTAGGTTATTGCCGTTTCCGAAAGGCCGAGGGCCCCCAGGTGCTCCTGTAGGTTCTCGGTGCCCTTGGGAGGTCAGCTTAGGGAGGGAGGGGGCACCATGAGAGAGTCAGGTCAGATGCTCCCTCTCCAGGCAGTGGGAGGTGGCCGAGGTTTGGGGCAGCCACCAGGCTCTGGGTCCCTGGGGAGCAGGTCTGTGCGCCCAGCTCTGTAACAAGCTCTTTTCTCCGCAGACGCTTGAGACCGCCGGCTACGTGAAGAGTGTGCTAGTAAGTAACTCCCGCATTCACCCCAGTTCCCAGCACACTTGTCCCTGGAACCTCTCCTGCTGGTGGCTCCTTCTAGTCCAGACAGGGCAGCCGTGCCAACACAGGCTACCTGCCCAAAGACGTTGCAGTGGGGACCAAGGATGCCCATTCGTTAGGGTCAGATAGATGCCCCACGTGGCCATCGGGGATGCCCACAGGAGCCAGCACCCAGCTTTGCCCATTCTTCAGGGATGGCTGGCGTCCCTGGAGCGCTCAACCCCACCACGGGTTTCCTCCTTGCTGGTGTGGTCCAGCAGTCGAAGCGTGGCTGGTACATGGTCAGGGTCATGGAAACGCAGCTCAGCTCCCTGGGGAGACACGGGTTTTTGGTCTCCTCCCATGTCTGCAGGGTCTGTCTCCAACCGTGTGGGGAGGGCATTTCCCCAGACATCTGCTCAGAGAGCACGGAGCAGGGCTGGGCTCGGGCCCTTTTGGGTTCCTGTTTTTGTGTGTGTTCTGCTCAGAGCCTGCCCCCCAGCCGCACACCGTGAAGGAGGCTGGAGCACTGAGCAGGCTGTGGTCACGGCCCCTGACGTGGGCCAAGCGGGAGCCCCACGCCGTCTGCCCCTCCAGCTCCGTGACCACGCAGACAGCAGCCTGCCTAGAAACCGCCCTCCCGGTGCATTCCAGTGACCACGCGGGAACGCGAAGGGAGCTGCTCACCCCTCAGAAAACCTCCTCCGCTGTTTTTTGCAGGAGCGCGATAAGCTGTTAAAATATCGGAAGCAAAGAAAGAAAATGGCCAAACTCCCCAAGGTAAAGGAGACGATGCTGACCCAAGTGTGTTTTTAAAGCTGCTTAACACGAGGGAATTTCTCTCTGGAGGTGAAAAGAAAATATTTACTGTTTCTAAAAATTGTTACTGTACCATAACCAACACGAACCTCAAATCAATACTCTTGTTTATAATTCTAAATTTAAAAGTCCTACCTTGTTGCTTTTAAATTTCCCAGGTAGCCCACGATTCATGACCGCGGAAGGAGGGGGTCGCCCCAACTCTGGCCTTCCCTTGCGGGCCTGGGAGTTAGAATTCCCGTAGCCACGGGGCTCCCAGGCCTGCCTCGCCACCGCCACCGTGTGGTCCCCCGTCACCACTGCAGGCTGCGGCGCCCATCTGCAGCCCCCACGGGGCCCCCTCCCAGGCAGACCTGCCCCCCCAGGGAGTCTGAAGCCCAATCCTTTTCCATAAATGTGTGTTTTTTATTAAAGGAGATTCCGGAGGTATTCCCAGAGAACGTTAACTTGTGCTCTGCTTTATGCAACATGAGTGTGTTTTCTTGGGCTTCTGAATGCTCAAGGGTGTTCCTCGAGCAGCCTGGGAGGTAACTCCTCAGGCACGGACACTGGCCCATTTGGCCCCCAGAGTGCTGGGGGCCCTCTCTCCTCGGGATTGTCGCAGAGCACTTAGAGATTTCCTGGGGGCCTGGGAGCCAGTGGGAGGAGGCCCGCCCGCCCTCTTCACCTGGGCTCCCGCTGTCCCGTCGCTTCCAGGAGGCAGGAGTGGGGAGGAGCCAGGCAATTAGGATACAGGCCAGGAGCCACCCAGATGGGCTCAGCAGCCCAGGACAGGATGTTGGTTGACAAAGGTGTGGACCGTTGGCCACACGGTGAGGGTTGACCGTCATGAGCTGGACCATGAAGGGGTCCAGTGGGATTTCGGCACAAGAAGGACCCAGGAGGCTCCGGTGACTGTCGGGCCAGGAGTTCAGGAAAGTGTCAGGGACACAGCAGGAGGGACTTGGATAGAGAGAGAGTGGATGGTGGACATAGGGTGAGGAGGGGACACGAGTCCGTGTCTGGACTAACCCAGTTCCTTTGGGTCAGAAGCCGGTTGTGGTGGAGACCTTCTTTGGGTACGATGAAGAGGCTTCCCTGGAGTCCGACGGCTCCTCCATCTCCTACCAGACGGACAGGACAGACCAGACCCCGTGTACGCCTGACGATGACCTGGAGGAGGTAGCCTCCCACGGGGGGCTCTGGACAGGATGGAGTGGGGCCCGGAGGCCAGGGGGATCGGGGTCGGGGGTCTGGATACATGGGGTTTTGCTGTGGGGCCTGCCCCCTGGAGCGGTGGGCTCCGTGGTCCTCCCAGGCTGTGCCCCCTGCCCCCGTGGCCTGTGATTCCGCAGGGTGAGAAGTGTCTCCCGTTACCACCCTCCCTTCACAGGCCCCGGTGGGGTTTCAGCCCGCCGCTATGCTCCTGCCCCTCCACACGTGGGGACGGACGGCTCCCCGCCTCTCGGAGGGCTGCCCCAGGCTCTGGAGCACCCAGTATGGGGAGGCTGGCACCAAGGCCAAGGGCCAAGCCGAGAGGTACACGGGACAGATAGTGTAGAATAGTGTTGTCTTGGATAGACACACAGCCAGTCTGTCCTGCCCGCCAGTCCTTCCGGAAGGAAGGGCCCTTTGGTGCAGGCAGCCAGCTGAGTCCCGCATGTGGGAAGAAGCTTGGTTTGTTCTCACTGGCTTGGCCCCGGTGGCTGAAGGACAAGGAGTGGCCCTGAGAGGCCCCAGGGGACACTAAGGTCCCAGGTAGTGCCTCCCCGGGCAGATCAGGGCAGGTGACCCCATGGCCGTGGACCCGCTTAGAGACCTCAGACATCGTTGTACAGCTACTGCCAACAGCCTTGGGGATAAGGAGCACAGGGGGAGCTGCGGCCCGGTGAGGGCTCCTGGGCCTGGTCCCTCTCAGACACAGCCAGCCTCCACAGCAGACCTAGGCCTTGTTCTCGGAGCAAGAGCTTTGGGGCCCAGGGGACCCTCAAAGGCAGCAGCCATCCCCTGGCTTCTCCCTGGGGCAGCAGGTGTCCTTGGAGCCAGAAGGAGACATCTGGGAATCTGCGCAGGAAGGTGGGGGTGGGGAGGAGTTGCATTCCCAGGGCCAGGTCTCACCTGATGCACCTGGGGGGCCACCAGGGTCCCCCCTGAGCCCCTGAGGCTCACCCTGGCCTCAGTGTAGCCAGCTGGGCCTTCCCCCCGGGGGGCTCCGGGCTCACCTCCCCGGGGCCCCTGCAACACTGCGTCTCTGTGCACCTGTGCAGGGCGTGGCCAAGGAGGAGACGGAGCTGCGGTTCCGGCAGCTGACCATGGAGTACCAGGCTCTGCAACGGGCCTACGCCTTGCTGCAGGAGCAGGTCGGAGGGACGCTGGACGCAGAGCGAGAAGTTAAGGTCTAACTGACTTCTACTCCACGATGTTCCGGCTCCCGCTGGGCTCCTCCCCGCTTGACCCCCGCCGTGGCAGGGACACCTGTGGCGCTTCACCTTCCAGGCTGATCCCTTTCCCCCGCGGCTCTTGCCGGGCCTGTTGGAGCTCCCGAGGCGACTGGGAACCAGCGTTTGCGCGGCAGCGCTGGGAGTCGGCCGGGCGGTGGGTGGGGCCTCCCCGGAGCGGTCCCCGGCATAGGTGTGAGTGATGGTCCCCGGAGAGCCACGTGTGTCCCCTCTGCAGACCGTGGCTGGTGGGCAAGGGGAGGTCTGCTTCCTTTGAACCTGCCCGCAGGGCTCTTGGGGGGCTCTCCCAGAGCGGAGGCTCAGAGATGGGGAAGGGCCAGCATTTCTGCTCAGTTCTTGAAATCTGCTGCGGTCATTCACTCACCCCGTCCACCTGAGCTCAGCTGCTGTGCTCACCTTGACCTGGGCCTCCCCAGCCAGGCCCTGCTGGGAGCAGGTACGTGTCCCCCTCCTGCCCCTGCTTCCCTGAGCCCTGGGCCAGGCTCTCATGCCCGTCCACCGAAGGCAGGAACACGGGGCTGACAGGTGCCCTCGCTGGCCACCAGGGGAGGCCGTGGCAGGGGGCTGTGCCCTGTCTTCCCCTGAACCCCACCCCACGCTCCCTGACATGTGGCCTGCCGTGCCAGGGCTCTGAGGGGATGCCCTGCATAAGATACGGCTGCACCCTGTACGCGGATATGGCTGCACCCTGTACGCAGATACGGCTGCACCCTGTGCGCGGATACGGCCGCACCCTGTACGCGGAAGGGCTCTCCTGCCCAGCTGCCCTGCACCTGGGGCCCATCTCTGACCCCAGCCATACAGGGCATGGCACCAGTCAGCTGGTTCTGAGACTCCAGCTGGCCAGCGGGGCGTGGACTCTTGGAAGTAGGGCACAGTGTCAGTGGGGTCCCCTTCCATCTCCTCGCTGCCTGGAGAGTCACTGGACCTACTCCCTGTGAGCAAACAGATCTCCCGCCAACTTCCCTTGTGTCATGACGGCCCTAATAGGGAGGCCAGAGGAGGGGAGGGAGAGCCAGGGTCCGCTGATGTCTCCGAAGGGGACCCCAGGGCCAGGCCACGGGATACTCGGCCTCCTCAGCTCGAGGGACCCCTGACCCAGTGCCCAGCTGGCCCAGATGCTCTCATCTGCCCAGAGGTGTTCCCAGGGAACAGGAGCGCCCATCGGAATGAAGGGCCCTGTGGCCCAGACCTCACGAGAGCAAATTAAGTCCGGGGGGGGGGTGGCCTGGACGGTCTGGGGCCTTGCCTGCCCCTGGGCAGTGGAGGGTGGGCTTCTGCGGGAGGCGGGGGAGGAGGGAGTCAGGTGCACGCGGGACTGGCAGAGGGCACCCGTGCGGGAGGGGACGGGCCGAGTGCTGAGCCGTGTGTGTGTATCCTTGCCGTTGGCCAGAGCCCAGGATGTGGCCCAGTGGCCGGTGCCCCACAGGCCTCCACGGCCCTCCTTAGCCCTTTCATCCTGCCTACAGAGATGTCCCCGACAGTCCCTCAGAATGAGTCTGTAGGGCGTCCCCATAACCCTAGATAGTCCGCTCGCCACAAGCCTCCTGGTGCTTCCCTCTGCCCAGAGCCTTCCCTGCAAATGCGTGGACCGCCCCCTCTCCCTTAGCTGCGGGGGAGAGCCCACTGGAAGCCTCCAGCCCTGCGGGGCAACCTGGCTGCGAGAGGAAGTTTGACGTATCCCTTCTCCCATTCTACAGACCCGTGAGCAGCTGCAAACAGAGGTGCAGAGAGCCCAGGCACGGATAGAAGATCTGGAGCAGGCCCTGGCTGAGCGGGGGCAGGTGCGGCTCGAGCGGGGCCGGGTGCCCACCAACACGGAGGGTGCCCGAGGGACATGGGCGGTCCACAGGTGTATGGGGGGGCTGCACCTGGCAGACAGGCACCCCACTAGGAAATGCAGACCCTGAAAGGAGCACAAATCAAAGGAAAGGCCCAGCATGCCTTGACGAGGGGCCTGGGTAGGCCCCGTCTCTCCCCCCAGCTCAGGGCCAGGGCTACCCCTGGAGACCGCTGGTCACTCCCTCACCCGTATGCCCATCGCCACCTCTGGGCTCTTCAAATCCTGTGGGAAGGTGTCTGTTGCCTGCCACCACGAGCTTCTGTCCTGCTGGACGGCACAGCTCCAGGTGGACCCAGGAGGAGGCTGGAGGACGGCCACGTTGGGCCGGGAGGGTCTTCATGGGAAAGCACCTGGGTCACCATCAAGCCAGCGCAGACCCACGGTGGTCCTCGACGCATTCACCACTGGGTGGACAGCGAGAGGGACGAGAGGATGACCTGAGCAACATGGGGTCGTGTTGCCCACACCCCGACTTAAGCGCGCATGGCCCCAGATTCCGCGCTGGGCACCTGTAAGCTGTTTACCCAAACCACACAGGGCTGGCTTGCCCGGGGCCCCGTGTGCTCGGGCTGCAGGAACCGTGCTCAGAGGCTGGGCTGAGCACAGACTTCACGGACCCTGCCTGGACCTCGTGAGGTTGGCGCCTGAGCCCTACAGTGGCCGTTCGTGCAGGAGAGCAGTGGCCGGGTAGCCAGGACATGAGCAGGAAGACTGTGGCTGCCTTTCAGTGTCCGACAGCCCTCCAACTTCCCAGATGACTCTGCCGAAGAACCTGGAAAGAAGGGGAGTGTGTGGGGCAGCTGGCCTTCCTCCTGACCCCTCGCCGAGGAGGCTACTTGTGGGAGCATCGCAGCTTTTGGGGACACCTGACCTTGTGGCCGGGTCGGGGGGGGGGCGTCTATACACATCTCTCACCAGAGCACAGAAGCCGGCAGGCAGGACACACCCTGAGGGTCCCAGGCTCCTGCTGGTTCTGTGTCAAGGTCCTTGGACCCAAGACACCCATATGGCTCCATGTGCCCCTGGTGCCTGGCATGGGTGGGTGTGGGCTGGGAGTGTTGGTCGTGTGGTGGTGCGGGGTCCCACAGAAGCAGGGCTGCCTCCGTCTGCTCTCGTCCAGGCCCCTCCTGGGGAGATCGCAAGCTTTCGTTCGCGGCACGACAGGAGCCATAGGAGCGGCGGCCAGAAGCCCGCTACAGAGGCTGGGGGTTGCCTCCTCCGCTCTGCTGAACCGTGGTTTAAATGTAGGCTTTGCACTGAATCTGCGGCATTAATTTCTCCAATTTAATTCCATTTTCAAGGACATGAAGTGGATTGAAGAGAAGCAGGCACTGTATCGAAGAAACCAAGAGCTTGTGGAGAAGGTGCGCCCCACGTCCCGAGAAAGCAGCGACCTCCACCCCGCGCTCCCGGGAACTCTCTTCCGGACAGAGGTCCTCCGAGGGTCCACAGAGCCGGTCCACCCGCTGCTGTGTGTCTGGCCTCACCTGAGCTCTCCAGGCTGTGGCCCCGGCCGTGGGCTCTCCTGGCTTCCGGTTAACAGGAGTCCCTAAAACGCCGTCAGCCCTGCACCCCACCCCAGCTGGGGCTCTGTGGGCTGGAGGATTTTACGTGATGGGCCGGAAAACACGGTGCCCACTGGCCTGCTCTCGCTAGTGGCCTGGGCTCTTTCCCAGAGCTGCCTCACTTGTCCTTCTCTGGGCCGGTGAGACGCCCATTCTGCACACAATCCCCCTCATTCAGCCCGATCTGGGGTGGGGGGGCTCCTCAGACGACACCTGCACAGCTTGGGACGGTCCCCAATGGGTGGTGCCCCAGAGCTGCTGGCATGGGGACGGTCAGACCAAGGTGGGAGCTGGGCTCCGGTTCAGAGGCAGAAAGGCCACCGGGGTCATCGTCCTGCCCCGTCAGGGTGCCGCGTGCCGCCCTTCCCCACCAGCCATGGGCCTCGTCCTGGGCCGAGCATGGGCAGCCACAGCCCTTCTAGAGAAGAGCCAGGCCTCCGTGTCCTCCTGGGCCCGAGGGGCGCCACCGTGCCCGTGCTCCGTGCAGACCGGCAGCTCCCAGCAAAGCCCCCAGGCCACAGCCCAGTCCCACTGGGGGCTGTTAGGTCTGGGTGGTGATATGATGCCCACTTGCTTCCTGTGGACCGTCCACGGGTTCCTAAATCACGGCAGCTGTGTCTATGGTGCTCTCATGCACACACGCACACTCGTGTAATGTTCACGGGCACACTCATGTGTGTGCACAAACACATGCACACTTGAATGCTCACTTGTACGTATACCATGCCAATGAACGCTTCCATGTGCACAAAATACATGTGCACATAAATGCTTGTGTGCACACATGACCCTCACACGCGTCTGCACACACGTTCTTGTACACGCATGACCCTCACACGCGTCTCACATTCGTGTGCACACATGCTGCTCACATGCACACTTAAGCACTTCTGTGCACACATAGATACTCATGTGCATGTGCAAACACCGTGCACACTTGTAGTGCTCGGTGTATACTTTAAACCTGCACCTTTCTCTGGCTACCACGCGCACAGGGTCACATTCCAGTAGGCGCTGCCCACAGCCTTGGCTGTGCGTGACCCCGCATGCCGTGGAAGGAACCTGCCCCCTATGGCACCTGGACGGATGCCGGGCCCTAATCCATCTCCAGCCACCCCTGAGCATCCCAGCAGGGCATTCAGCTCCCCAAATTCAGTTCAGGGGGCATGGGCCAGGCCATCCGGTCCAGTGGACGCCCTTGTGGTGTGCCCTTCCCTGCCCTCACGAGGCCATGTGCCCTGGACACCTCAGCGGCACACCCTCGATGGGCCCTTCTCTTCCCTGTCTCTGTTCAGACAGCTGGACTGGGCTCAGGGCCATCCCGGGGGCATCTACGGCTCCTCACCCCTGTACCGCTCCCTGTGCCCACCCACCCTGATGAGCCAACTCCAGCTGGAGCGAAGGCTCGGGGCACACGGGTGGGTCGGCTGTCCCCACGGATGGCCGGAAGCTGTCAGGAAAGTCAGGAGGGGACCTCACGTAACCTCAATGTCTCATCTACCTTCTATTTTACAGATTAAACAAATGGAAATAGAAGAGGGTCGGTTAAAACACGAGGTTCAGGATGCGAGGGACCAAAACGAGCTACTGGAGTTCCGGATCCTGGAACTTGAGGTGCGCCGTTGGCGTGGGCACTGGGTGCGTGGGGCAGAGCTGCTGTGACGGAGGGAGGCGCTTGGCCTTCCTGACCTGGGCCCTTGCTCACGACCCCAAGGGGGTGGGTGGAAAGGAGGCACCTCTCTGAAAAAGGGCCATGGAAGAAACCCCAGAATGAGCGAGATGTGAGTGTCCGCTTCCAGACCCATTGGGCTGCACGATGATGGCTGTGCCCCTGTGGGGCTGTGATGGTGGCCGTGGCACTGAGCGGGGACCACACCCCCGACCATGGTGGCCAGCTAGTGGACGCTTGCTCCTTGCTCATTTAAGCGGCCAAGTGTGGGTAGCTGGGGGCCACACAATGACCAGGTGCCCTTCTGGCTGTCCTGGGCCCCTGTCCTCCTCTGTGACCTTGGCCTCCTGCAGAGGAGGAAGCGGGAGCCAGGCTCCCTCAGGGAAGCGTCCAGCCATACATACACGGACGGCCGTGCAGCTGCCATCACCTTCCACTGCACTCCTGGCCAGGAGGGCGTCTCTGAAGCCAGAGGGCAGCTGGGGGTTATGGTCCACCTGTGAGGATGTGCCCGGGGCTGGCATCTGCCCTGCTGGCTGTCCACATGACTCTGGGGCTGCCTCCTTAGTCCCAGCCACCTTCAGGACCCCCGGGGACGAGGAGGTCATGAACCTTGTGGCGGGAGGGTGTGTGTGCCTGTGTGTGCACACATGACCACCGCTTGGCCTCCGGGGCTCCTGCATGTGGCCTTGGGTCGGGGACAGCACCGCCAGCCACTGTCCTCAGAGCAACCAACCAGTTGCCCCGGTCAGCCCGCGGAGGAGGACACAACTCCCTGAGCCTCCTGAGGGCCCGAGAATTCACGGCGGACCAGCAGGTCAGCAGCAGGGGTGGGGATGGAGGAGCCGGGCCTGCCAGGCTGGGGGTCCCCGCTGCCGCCAGTGTCTGCGCAGAGGCCCTCTCTGTCCCCGGGCTTGTTTCCCAAATGCCCACCACATTCGCTGGCCTCTGCACCTCCGCCCTGTCCCTGGGTGGCCCCCAGCTCAGCCCACATGCCCAGCCGCCTGCTCTCTGTCCTAGGAGAGGGAGCGGAAGTCCCCAGCCATCAACTTCCACCACACCCCCTTCGCAGAGGGGAAGAGCCCCCTCCAAGCCTACTGCGAAGCTGAAGGCGTGACGGTAAACCCCGCCCCCTCCCACCCCTGCACTATGTGCCACAGCCCCCACCCCACCCCACAACCCCTCCTCTCCAAGCCCCCTTGCCGCGGGCACTCACCTCCTAGTGTCCCTCTCTGCCTCAGGACATCCTGGTCTCGGAGCTGATGAAGCGGCTGGACATCCTGGGGGATAACGCCGTAAGTGTATGTCGCTCTACTGACTTGTGCATGCCTCCTCGCGCAGTCCCCACCCCGTCAGCCCCCCAGCGTCCAAGGACCCCCGTGAGCCCCGCTGCCGGTCTGCCACGGCTGCCCTGTCTGCCTGCACCCTCCCCGAGGCCACAGCTGCTTGGGGCAGCCCCTAGAATTTGGGAGGAGTCCTGCCCCATTCGCATGTTCCTGCACCCGTCTGGGTGGTGACTCACCCAGAAGCACAGGGTTCGGGGCCTCTGCTCGGCCAGGATGGGGAGCCCTCTGCTGCGCACACCCGGGTCCGCCGGCCACGATGCTCCTGGCCGTATGTTCTCAGTTTCTGGAATGCTGATCGGTCTTTAAGCCTTTCCACACCCTGGTGGGGGTGGGGGCGGGGTCCTTCCAGTGCCTTAGATATCCCAGGCTCTTAGCGGTTCCCACGTCCTTGGTTTTTGGGGAAGGGCAGAGACCATAAATAATCTGCAAATCTCATTTAGGGCACCATTCCAATTTCTTGAGCAAACTCTCAAAGAATACTGATTACTTCGTGACTGTGCTGCTTCCTCCTCCATCCGTCCCTTCCTCCCTCCCCGCTTTACCCTCCAACGTCATCCCTCCATCCATCCATCCATCCATCCATCCATCCTTCATCCTTTGTCCATCCATCCTTCATCTTCCATTCTCCCTCATCTATCCATCCACCCTCCGTCCATCTCCCATCTGTCCCTCCATGCACTCGTCCTCCATCCATCCATCCCTCATCCTCTACGCACACTCCATTGTCCATCTCTCCTCTCTCCTTTGTCCTTCCATCCTCCGTCCATCCTCCCATTCCTCACCCTCCATCCACACTCTATCCTCCATCCCCCCCCCCCTCCCACCCGTCTTCCATCTGCCCTTTGTCCATCATCTTGTACTTGTTGAGGCCCTGCCCAATGAGCAGCTCAACTGTGCTAGAAGCAGCCCCACTGCACCACCCAGAACTTCTTTTTCTCCAAGGTGTACTAATAAGCAGAGGCTACAGCAGAGTCCCTGTTGACAGGGACACTTCTCTCCTTGCCCACACTTTCCAGAGGGTGGGGGAAGGCTCCGCTGATGGTATCCACCCCTCCCCCAGACCCCCGCTCCATCTGGGCTGTAGGCTGTAGAGGCATCAGCCAATAGCCAGGATGGGGTCCCGCCCTGAGTTTTCAGGCCCCGTCGCAGGGACCATACTGGTTAACCTTCTGATTCACAGCTGGAGAAGCTGAGGCCCAAGAGGACACCTGCCCAGGGTCCTACAGCAGATGTAGGAAGAGCCTCGCTCTGTCCAGTTCAGTTCAGGGCCCCTCCCCAGCCTTGTAGCTCCCTACTCAAGAGCTCCAATGGGCTCTGATGGAGCCATCAAGGGGCCTCAGAGCATGGAGACAGAGGCTTTCGGGGACTGGAGGACACGCCTTCAGGTTTTACGCTCAGGGGACCCTGGGGAAAGCTTGGCACTTCCTACTGATGGGTCTGGAGGGTGTCCCTATCCCTTCAGTGGTCACAGGGGGCATATGAGTGTGCTTCGCAAGCACCCCATGCCCAGGGACTGTGCCCCGTGGAGCCTGAGCCCGGAAGTTCATTCCTGGAGCTTGCCCCGCCTGGCTCATGAGGAAGGCAACAAAGATAGCCCGGCCCCTGCTGCCTTCACAGCCAGTTCTGAGGCTGCCGTGCACAGCCTGCCCCAGAGCAGCCCGCGGCCTCCAAACTGGCTGCGGGGGTGCCAGAACCCCAGACCTCGTGTGCTCGGGAGGCAGGGCCCTTGGAGTTGAGCAGAGGCTGGCGGGGCAGAGCGGACCCCCATCCTCCCTGGCAGAGCACCCCTCCCCGCAGCTGTACCTGGGCTGCAGAGGGATGGGTCCCCGGGGGAAGGCAGAGCAGACGGCATCTGCCTAGGCCGGGGCCTCGGGACATCATCACCTCCTGGCCAGGCTGCTCACCCAATGGTGAGCCCCCGAGCCAAGTGTAGCCATGTTCTAGTAGGTTCTCCCTGAAGCCACTTGCTCAGCCCTCCCTGGTCCCTGTCTGCGTGGGGGAGGGAGCGCACTGGTCCCTGTCGGGCTCCCCAAGAAGCAGGCGGTGTGAGGAGCGCCTGGCCAGCCCAGCTCCGGGCTGAGTGTGGGTGCACTGTGCCCCAAGGGCAGAGCTTGCCTCTGTGCCTACAGCGTTTGGTCACCGTCCCTGCCTTGGCTGACTGCTACAGGGCTAGGGGACAGTGAGAGACCCCTGCCCTTGGGGGCCAAAGTTCACAGCCCAGACGGAGGGCTTTCTGAGCAGACAGGTTCTGGGCTCTAGGGTGGTGTCCCCAGCTCTGTGATCCAGCAGACTCTGCCTCCTCTGGTCTCTGATTCCCATGCTCCCCCCCCCCCCAAGTTGGGCCCTGCGGCGGGGACAGCCTGGCTGCCACCCCGCTGCTGACGCAGGCGGTGGTCATGGTCTGAGTGAGTGAAGGGCTTGTAGCCTCCAAGGATGCTCATTGGTCCCAAGGCCAGACTCGGCCAGAGACCACCCAGGTGGGCCCCTGGAAGAGGTATGAACACACCATGCAGAGAAGAGACAGAGACCCCAGGGATGGAGCCATCACTGCACACTCCTAAGCGAGTTTTAGCCATTAACACAGCCTGCGTATGTGGAGAGCCGGCTTTCAACCAAGGTGTGGACCAGGGACAGTGGGTGTGTGTATATCGCCACTTCCCTGCACTCCCCTCGCCCTCAGTGGGCCACCTACAGGGTCCTGGTCACCAGTCCTGGGGCGACAGGTGGGGGCAGAACAGAGAGAGCACATCAGAGTCAAGTCAGGGTCAATGGGGTAGAGAGTAAAGGGCATTCAGGACCCCAGGAGGCTATTTCACTCAGAGTGACCTAACCTGTGGCCCCAGCCCCCTGCGCCTCTCCATCAGGTTCACTTCATGCCCCCCCACGCACCCTCCCTGCCTGGCCCCCCCCCCAGTTCCCCCCCCCGCCAGGCACCCCATGCACCCCTCACCAGTACCCCTGTGCACCCCACCAGGCCCCCCCGCCCTCAGTATTTCAGTCTACTGCCTCGGCAAGCCCCACCCCTGACTGTCCCCATGTCTGCTTTGGTGCAGAATCTGACCAATGAGGAGCAAGTGGTCGTCATACAAGCTAGGACCGTCCTGACCTTGGCTGAAAAGGTAACAGCATCTGTGTGGCCGCTCTTGGGACAGGGCCGGGGCAGCTGGGAGAGGGGGCAGTCCCCGGAGGAGGGACTCCTGGGCTGTGCGGGGGAGAATCAATGAATCCTGTTGGCCTCGGGAGGTCCCGCACATGCAGGGGTCAGACCCACCATCCTCTCTGCGGGTAACAGATCAGTCAGACTTCGTCTCAAGGCCCACTCTGCCTCAGTTTCTCCCTCTAAAGGTCAGGCAGTGGAGTGGGTCTATATACCACTGGCTTTCTGTTCACCCCACCAGAACCCTCCCCAGGGGGTGCCTAGCCGACCTGGGCTCCTTACCTGCAGCCAGTCCCTGACCCCCAGCCCCCCGCCAGAGCCTGCCTGGGAGGCCTGCTGTCAGCAACTAGTCCTGGGGCCCCCAGCGGGAAGGGGAGAGGGAGTCCCGGCAAGCAGGGGTGCAGGGCATGGGATTGAGGGAAGACCTCTGCTGGCTGAGCGCTCTGTCCCCTGTCCCCACCGAGCCCCTGCTCACACCCCTTCTCTCCCTGGGGAGTGAGGGACAGACCTCCTGGACAGCACGTGGGGGTGTCTGGACGCTGGGCACCCAGAGCTCGCCATGCCAACCCAGCCCCCACTCCCAGGCTGCCCGTGGCACCTGGGGGACGGTGGGATGGCTTTGGTGCCTGCGTGGCCACCTGCAAGGTCACCATCTCCTGCTCTTCCGGTTTGTGTCCAGTGGCTCCAGCAGATTGAGGAGACGGAGTCGGCCCTGCACCAGAAGATGGTTGACCTAGAGAGTGAGAAGGTCGGTGGGTGTCTTGCCTCGTGTGTGCAGCACGGCGACAGCAGGTGGATGCCCGGGGCTGAGACGCAGGCCCCTTGTGTTTCAGGAGCTGTTCAGCAAGCAGAAGGGCTACCTGGACGAGGAGCTGGACTATAGGAAGCAGAGCTTGGACCAGGCTCACAAGGTGAGGGAGGCGCACCCGCCGCTTTGGTGTGGGGCGGGGGGCTGCAGAGTCCCGGCAGAAGTGGGGGAAGCGCTCCCGCTGGCTGCTGTCTCTCAGGGCCTGGGTCCAGCGTGACCGCCGTGGTGTCAGCCTCTGCGCTCCTCCCTGATTGCCTCCCTGAGGCCCAGGGAAGCCTGAGCGCTCCCGCAGCAAACACTTCGCCCGTCATGTGGAGCTCACAGGGATCTTTAAAACGAGTTGAGAAATAGGATTCATGGACACATAACATGTTTATAAATTAATCGAACATGGTTGACTGTTCGTAAGAAGCGTTCTCTGGGACTTCCTGTGTGTGTGTCCCTGCCACTCCGAGGAACGTACGTGCCTGTCTGCACGCCTGCCTGGCCCGTGGGAAACACTCGCCCCGCTGATAAACTTGTCCCAACTTGGGGTTAGCACAGAGATCTGGGAGTCCTCGTAGACACACCTGCGCCATGGGACGCAGTCCTCACTGACACGGGTTTGACAACGAGAAGTCCCATTAGCGCTTCAGGCTGCCTTTGTTTCAAGAGGGTGAACTGAGACCTGGCACCACATCCTTGCTGCTCTGATTAGTCTGGCCAAGGGGCACCATGGGGGGCTTCCTGGAGGAGGGACGCCCACGCTTCTTCCCAGTGGTCAGTTACACCCCGCGTGCGTGCTGCCTCCCAGCATGTGCTTCCCGGCCTACCTTGTGTCCCTCTGGACAGCCAGTCCTTGAGGTCAGGGCATGTCTGGCACCAGCTCAGGGAAAACTTCCAGGGGCCCTCGTGAGGCGAGGGGCCTGGAATAGACTGTGCAGTGAGAGGGACGCCTGAGGCCAGGGATGTCCCTTGTGGTAAGTAGAGGTATGAGCGCCCACCTTCTGGAGTGTTAGCAGAGTGAGGTCACTGTGTGGAGAGCGCGTGGGTCACCAGCAAGTCCTACCCAGCCGGGAAGCTGATGGTGTGATGTCTCCATTAACCCCATCAGGCCCATGCAGGTGCCGGTGCTGGTGCTGGCGGCTCACTCACCAGCCAGTGGCAGTGGGACACCTGTGGGACACCTGCAGGCATGGCCACAGAGAAAGTGGTGGAGGGCAGTGGCCTCAGAGAGCCAAATGGGCACTGATGGACCTTCCCAGAAATACGGGCCACCATCCCTGTTTCCAGTCCACGGTGCTGGGTGGGAAGGATACTAGGGAGCAGCCAGACACCCGTCCCCACCACTGCTCCCTGTGCTCCAGTCCTGCAACCCAGACTCAGGCATGGAGGAGGCATCTCACCCCTGGGCCCTGGGCATTCCTCAGGGCACAGCTCAGGAATATGTGCATCGGTGCCGGAAAGACAGGCCAGTGTGGGGGGCATCAGAGTGGGCTGTATGTCTCACATGTGCGCACACAGACACACGTGCACACCCACACATGCACGTGCGCACATGTACACACACGCATGCACACCCACACACGCGCACGTGCACCCCAGAGAGTGGGGTGCCCTCACGGGGCTGCAGGGCTGCCGACACCTGCCCGGGCTTCACCTCCTCCCTGCTCCTTGGACACAAGGTTGTGGCAGGGGTTTTGAAGGGGAAGTGCAGGTCCCACACATGGCGGCGACTCTCAGGGAGCTGCTGGCTCCTGCAGGGGCCCTCGGGTGGCGCTCTGCGGGGGGAGGCCGCTGCCCCTCTCTCATTTTCCGCTTTGTGTGAAGCCTTTGTGGTGGCAGCACTAAGCACCCCCACCTGCACGATATTTGCTTGTAAATGCCTGAGCACCTCCCAGCCGCCTGAGCTCTTCGGCTGTCCTGTCCGGAGGCACCGACCTGGAGTGTGAGCTGGTGGTGACAGCTGGGGACAGTTTACTTTGCAGCTGTCCAGACCAATAAAATGTGAGGCTCCAAGGGCTTTTTTTCATTCCCTAAAACGTCCACGAAACCTGAAAGCACTTTTCATAATCGTTTTGCCTGAGGAAAAGACCCTTCACTTCTGAAGAGGTTACATTTTTTGATGGGAGGTTGGGTTTCTGTAGCGTAGGAATTTGGTTTTTTCAAAGATTGTTCAGGAAAATCTCCAGAGGAAAAAGCTTTACAAGTGTTCCGGATCCGACTGGTAAATCCCTAGGAATTTATACCAAGGTGTGCATTTAGTCCTCTGAGCTGCGGCAAACGGGTCCTTCTGCATTGCTTCACGGTGGTTTCTCTTTGAGAGGGCAGGGAGGTGAGCCCCATGCCCCACGCAACTCTCTCCTTGTCCCCGGGGCCCCCCAGTGGCTGTCCGGCCCACACACCCGCGGCCCCTGCTTGGCCTCCCCCATCAGCCTCAGCTTCAGCCCCGGCCTGGGAGCCCCAGGGTCTGGCCCCCACTCAGCCGGTCAGCTTCTCTGCTTCCCTCGGGTGTTCTCGCGGCAGAAGATCTTTGGGACTACGGGTCCTTCCCCAGAGGTCTGCAGTGGGCGCTGTGGTCCCTAGCTGTGGGGAAGCACATGTTTGGGGACCAGCAGCATGAGGCATGACGGGCTCTCTGCGTCTGAGCCCTCAGGGGCAGGGTGAGGCCTGGACTCCAGAGCCCCCTGCAGGGTCTGGACTCCAGCTGTCCCCAGCAGGACCCCATGCACATTGTCCGAGCCCACTTGTCTCCCGACCTGGGGCCAATAAGAACAGTTGCCTTGGGGAAGGGGAGGGCACTGGACAGCTCTGCAGGGCTGGGGTCCTCTCCCAGGCTGCGCAGGGCACACCAGGCCCAGGGGTACAAGTTCTTGGGATTTGGAGAGTGGAGGTGGTAACATGGGCACACAGGGCCCTGCGGCCAGTGAGGGTGAGGCCGTGTCCAAGGCAGTGAGGAGCAGCCGAGAGGAAGGGCCATACTCCCAGAGCCCAGAGGCTGGTCTCAAATGCAGTGTGGCAGGATGCGCTCCCTCTGAGGCCGCAGGGGGGGGTCCTTCATGCCTCCTCTGGCTCCTAGGGGCTCCAGGTGTGCCCAGCCTTTGTCTCTTCACGTGGCTTCTCCCCCATGTCTTTTGTGACTGCGTCCAAGTCCCCTCTCCTTGTAAGGACACGAGCCATTGAATCATTGAATGCCCCCCCCCATCCAGCATGATTCCACGCTAACGTGAAGACAGCAGCAGACACCCTAGTTCTACATATTGAGGCCGCATTCATGAGATCCAGGGGTCAGGACCTGAATGTATCGTCTTGGGGACATGATTGACCCACCATATGTGGCATGGAGGACCACAGACAGACCCCTGTGAGCACTGCCGTTCTTCCTTCTGTGGGGCTCATAAATCCAGGCTTTGAGGAAGGCCGTGAACAGGGGAAGACGCCTTCCCTCTGCTGCCCATTCCTCCGGCCCCCTTGGGGCTGTCCCCCTACTCTGGTTTCGAATATCTGCTTACCAGCTTTCCAGATTAGTGTGAGCTAAGACTCTACCTCCAAAGTTTCGGTGCACGTGTCAAAGCCTGTGTAGAAGTGAACGCTCTCGTGGTAATTACTCCTGGGCTGGGTGTCCACTCCGCAGGTCGTGTAAGCCGGCCGAGGAGGAAACAGCCCCCGCTGTGGGGTGGCGTGGAGGCGCTGGCACCCCCAGGAATCACGGGGCTCCCTTTGGCCAGCAGGCCAGACTGACGTGTCCCCTCCCACCCTAGCACATCCTGGAGTTGGAAGCCATGCTGTACGACGCCCTGCAGCAGGAGGCCGGGGCCAAGGTGGCCGAGATCCTGTCGGAGGAGGAGCATGAGAAGCTCAAGGCGGCCGTGGAGCAGTGGAAGCGGCAGGTGATGAGCGAGCTGCGGGAGCGCGATGCCCAGATCCTGCGGGAGCGAATGGAGCTGCTGCAGCTGGCCCAGCAGGTGCGCGGGGGCGGGGCCGGCGGGGCGGGGCCGGCGGGGGCGGGGCCCGGGAGGGGCTGGGAGCTTCGTGGGCGGAGTCCCACGGCCACGCCCCTGGGCCAGCCCCCGCTCCAGTGGCCATGCCCTCCCACGACAGGCCCATGAGCCGCTCTGCCTGCCCGGTCAGACCAGCCTCTGGCCGGCACGTCCCCTCTCTGGGGACCGCTGGCTGCGAGGTTTCTAAAGTGCCTCCTCCTTCGACGCTAAGGGCATGACTAAAGCGTGGTCTGGGAACCGCCTCGTGGGCGGGAGCTGACCGCGGCCTTCTTTTGGACTTCAGGCTAATCCAGCTGGTCCCCTTCTAACAGCAAGTGAGGGGCCCTGGCGCACTGGACAGCCTCTGCTCCCCCGTGTGCGCCCGTGGGGCCTGGAAAAGCCTTCACAGATGTGTTCCGTGTTCAGAGCACCCCAGATACATGGCCCCACTTGCAAAGTCATATAAGCTAGTGACCCCGGCGATACTGTGAATGTTAGGGTAGCGTCTGACCAGAGCACCAGTCCACTGCCGGAGCACTCGCCGCGAGACTCAGGTGGTCAGTGTGGGGACCGTACCTGGGGGCCCGTCCTTGCCATCAGACAGGCTGCTTCCAGGGTCCAGGCATCCAGGTCCAGTGAGGACGCATGAATTTGCATCTTGTGGGCCTGGTCTACCAACGGGAACACTAGGGGCGTCACCTTCGCAAGGAGGTTCCTCCTGGGATGGCTTCCTGACCTTGTGGTGGCTTCATGCCGCTGGTGACATCTGGGAAGGGTGTGAATCGGTTTCTGGGGTGTCCAGCATATTGTTTCTGATCTGAAGTTGTAGGGGTGGGAGGAGCAGAGCAGCTGACTGCAGAAAGCTATGTCCATCAGGGGAACCGAGGTGAGCCACGCCGCTGCCCTGCTCTGCCACGGCTGCCGGCGGTGTGCAGCCTCGGACAGAGGACGGTGCCGGCTGGCTGCGGCTCTGCAGCTTGTCCACCATGTAAACGGACGAACGCCTTGATTTCCCAAATACTCTGATGAGTGAAGATTTTCCTCCTTTACCATTGCAGAGAATTAAAGAGTTAGAAGAAAGAATAGAAGGTCAGAAGAGGCAAATAAAGGAGCTGGAGGAAAAGGTAACATGCATGTGTGTTCGGGGTCTGTTTTGTGCACGGGGCAGGGTTGTGCCGGTTTGCATGCTCCCAGCCGTGGGGGGATGGTGAGCAGGAAGCCGAGCTGCCTCACAGGGGCTGCGTCTCTCCCAAACTCAGTTTCCCCAGCTGCAGCAGTGGGAACTGGGGCCCGCGACCTAGGGTCCTTGTAGGGCTGGTGGTCGTGCCAACCTGTGGGATTCCTCCACGTTCATCAAGCAGTTGGTCTAAAAGTTCCTGAAATGCCGGCTTCTCTTCTTGAAAGCAGGTCATCTGTCCAACACCAGTCTCTGGTTTCTGGCCCTTAATGCACCTGCTTTGGAGTTTAGGACACTCAGGGGCTGGCGTACAGGGAGTTGGGGGCCTGGGGCAGACCAGCTGGCTCTTTTCCCGGACCCCCAGCCCTGTCAGGCGTGGAGTCGTGGGTGCTCTGTCCGCTCAGCCCAATTCCATGCTCCCCAAATCGAGGTGCCTGGAATGTGCCCAGAGGGAACCCTGCCTCTTTCCATGGTGTTTGCTTAGTTTAGGGGCCGTTCTTTCTCTGTGACTTAGGGTTGTTTTCATATCTCCGTGATCACACTGATGTTTGCTTAGGATCTCACCAAATGACCGGCTCTGCACTAGGCACTGAGCAAAGTGGCCCATGGAGCCACTGCCCTGCCTTGTCTCTCCTGGAAAGAGCAGGAGGCCACTGCTTGCACGGGTGCTCTGTGAGCTGCACGGCCCAAGGAGGAGGCCACAGAGGCCCCGTGACCACAGGGGAGACTGGCCCCTTACAGAGGCCGCCCAGCACACCCCACCCACCCCTGCTACCCAGGGACAACACCTGCCCCTTCCCTGGGCCCTTTACTGTCATCTGCCTGGCAGTTGTCATGGTGACTGTGTAACCT